AATTTTTATGAATAAATTTTATTATATGTGTATTGACAACTTAAAAAAAAGGCCGACTAATAATATAAAATATTAGTTAATTCGTTAGATTTGACTTTTTTGCCTAAAACAAATATAAAATAAAAGTCAAAAGCGGATTTGACAATCTCTTTTTTGCTTTAAATTCTCAGGCTATTTGATATCCTCGAGAAGTCAAGGGTTTATCCCAAAGCTCACGAGAAAAAAATTTTTATTCCAGAATTTCCAAGGATTTTGACTTTTAAAACTTTGAATTGAAGCTTTCAGAATTTGATCTTAAATTTTTTTTGATAAGAAAAAAATTGAACTTTAAAATTCTTAGAATTTCTTTTATTGAATACATATTTTTTAAATTTTAAAATCTCTAAAACCAAATATCCTTTTAGATCATGTAAAAAAAAAGCCCTTTAAATAAAGCCGAAACTTCTTTCTCAACAACAGGATTTTGATTCCTCTCAACCATAAAGGTCTACCATTTTTCTGACTTCCTATTTTTGTATTTTTGTTGCTCTGTCAGGCGATCCAGCACTATGGAATGGCGGTTGCTCCACCCCCCTCCCTGATCTTCGGTCCCAGACGTAATATATTTCCAGTTCAGGACCCACGACCAACCCGGCCATATATTAATAAAGGGCTGTTTGTCCCATTCTCTTTTCCGGGCTTTTTTCACTTTCTAACAGCCCTCTTCTGCAGGGTGCCAAACAATATCAGAATTTTAAATGACATAAAAGTTAAAAAGTTCAAGAATTATAAGGTTTAAATCACTCCTTAAACAGCCTTTTTTAAAAAAAAAAATTGATAAAAGCTCAATTTCGACAAACGGAAAAATAAGAAAAACAAAGCAAACCAACCCCAGGTCGAAAAGGAAAAAAAAATCCAGAATAAATCAATCACCAAAAGGCCAAAGAGTTTTTAACCCAAAAATGGAAATTCTAAAGAGAAACCAAACACGCTCTGAATTTCTTTAAATTAAATAAAAATACAAAATGGCATGGCAGCAAACGACAAACCCTAAGATAAAAGTCATTTTTGAAACAACGAGAAATGGGTTCCCAGAATCAGCAGAAGGGGAGGTCACGAGGGAGAAAGTAAAATAACAGGTTCTGTATTCAGGCCATGACTTCCTGAACGCACAGACTGTTTGTACCGTTAAAGTTTCCTGCTCTTTCATGCAATGTCAAGTCTCCTAATGAAAAATATAGTCATCGGGTATCTAGCTTTTCAGGATGCAAACCCTCCATTGCATGAAAAAAGGGGGGGGGGGGGGGGGGGGGAGGGAGAGGGGTAGAGAGAGAGAGAGAGAGAGAGAGAGAGACATTGATTAGAGTATCAGCAAAATGAATGCATTGGGTTCCATGCGGTGATAAAAACCAGCTTAACTTTCTGCCAAGGCCCGAGAAAGAGAGTGCCTAAGCAAGATAATTCAATGGATATCCGGCCATTTCCACTCAGCTCGAAGGCAGTCATTCATTGGCTTCTAAGATCGAGATCCCAAAACGCCGCAAAAGACAGAGAAACACAAACCATATGGTTCACAAACCCAATAGGTTGGTTTCTGGTATCTAAGATGACATTCTCCTCACATAAAATGAACTCTAAACATCTCTAAGGAACCAACAACCAGACTCCTTGACAGAATTCCAGTGGTTCTAAGTCATATCTATTTATGAACAATAGAGTCGATTACCTATGCAAAAATATGAAATCATGGAAAGAGATAAACTAACCCCCATCAAGTTGCAGTCTCATATGCTAATTAACAATATCTTAGCTCCATTTATGAACAACATAAAAATTTGTGAATTCTCCGGATACAAAAGAAAACATATTGCACAATAGGTGTAACATCATGTTTCTTGGAGTTGCTTCAAGAAGTGACGAGAGAGGAAATGAAGAAACCTTTTTCTTTCCTTTTTTCTTTTCTTGGTGGTCTGTTTTCTAAGGGAAGAGGGGACAAACAGCAAAAATAAATTACATTAGTCATTAGCCTCCTTACCTAGTACCAAATTGTGGATAAACAAAGCCCAAAAATAAGCAACAAACCTAAACCAGAAATCAGAAATTGAAAAATAATACAAAAATCCACTGCCATCAGATCCAAATGCAAATGAATCAATTGAGACACAGACAAGATATAATCCAGTAACAGGCATGAAAAGGCCACAAAATTTATGTCTAAAAAATTATCTGCATAATTTGAAGTTATCAATTTACGCCAACCGTGCCAAAAATAGTTCTTTCAGAGAATATAAAGGCAGAATGTAGTATAAATCGGCCAATCACCATCACAAGCAAACAGAAAAGGGATAAGCTTTCCAGCCTTTTTGCTTGGTGTCCATGTAATGATACTATAAGCATTACAACTGTCCAACCCAATGGCATCTCACGGCAATCTTTCGCTCTATATGATCTCGCAAGGCAACCAACAAATGGCAAAGAAAGTCACTTGCCAACCTACAATAGAATCTCCGGGTGAGCTTCCAATATATAGTATCAGGTTCTAAAGGAGGAAAGCATAGATTACTCACATGGAACACGACAAGGGGTACTTGTTAGCGTATAACTTTTCTTGCTTTAATTGTCATCTTGTAGCAGTAGCACTCTACTGGTATGAGCAGATAGCACCCTATAAGTTGGTCACTAGATTGAGGAAAACTGAGGGTTATAAATGACGCCCAGCTAAAACTAAAGCGATGGAGGAAACTTTTAAGTAGTCCTAGCCCATTAATGGTGGATGGATAACACAAACTGGCGGGAAATATGGTGGCACCTACAATTTTTTTCCCCCAATTTTTTCCCCTTCCACTGGCCTCCTTTATTCCATGGGAGGACCACCATCCACAATTCCATGTTTATTCCAGGGGAGGGCCCATCATGTCTTTTGCCCTTTTTTATCTAACATGGGACAAGGGGGACAGTGTTTCCTAGCCCCTTCTTATCCCCATTTATCAAGCGTGCCCTTGATGTATGGACCTTCCAAAGAATTGATACACCCCCAACATGCACCCCTTTATTCCAAATCTCATCAAGAACTTAACTTTCTTGCTTAAGTGATATTAATCTATTTGATGATATGACATTTCATACTCTCTCACCCAAGAGTTGTTTTCTGTCATTCTTCCAACAGGATGCGCTCCTCTGAAGACATATCTAACAGAACAAAGAAAGCTGAGTTTGGGAGGCTACACCTTGGCTAACTCAACCAGAGTTTTGGCTGCAGTTCTGAAATCTGATGTCAAATATGGACTCAGAATTTAGAGCTCATAACCACGAAGGTTTAAGATTTTAGTTGACATCTCACAGCTCAAACTCAACACATCATTGTGCCTGAATACAAGAGCATGGATAACTCAAGTGATACTTTTGGAAGAATACTTCTATGGTAGATGAAACGTATCCAGTCCTTTAATGCCACCTACACCAACTACACTCACTTTTCTATCTCCACCTTCAAATAACTCGCCATTCAGTATTCTGCTGTCTTTTTCACTCAAGACTACAACTTAAGTGGCATCACCCAAGGAACACAACCTCCACCTCAGGGTTTTCTTCTCTCTCTCTCTCTCTCTCTTCCTTTGTTCAGTGGAGGGGTTGGCTTTTATCTCCTCTCTAATTTTTTTTTTTTTTTTTTTTTTTCCTTTTGGTGATTAAATCCACATTTTGACCCAAAATATTCTCTCTATATAACATGCACAAAACTTCAACCGTGCCACCACTAAGATATATATATATATATATATTTTTTTTTCCCTGGGGACTCAATTAACTTAGACTAGTGTGGCAAAACAAGAGCTACCAAAAGATCAGGGTATATGACTTGAAAATTTCATTGGAAGCCATGCATGTGGGAGATCCAAAAAATTATCAGTTCATCTTGCCTCCAGCGTACTGGGTCAATGTGGAATGACATGGCAATTGAAGAAATGGGATGGTAAGGGAGATAAACATAGAGACAGAATGGATAAATTCTTTCAGCAGCTACAAGGGGAACATGGCATTGTCCCATGACAATGGTAGACGTGCTAAAGGCAGCAATCATTTGAAGAAACAAATAAAGGAAACAATGATAGAAATAAAACTGACGCCTGAAATTGGTCAAATAATGCAAACAAGTTCTACTTGGCATCAAAAATGGAAAGAGCAATATGCCAGTGTCTAGACAGACACATAAAATAGGAAAGGTATAATGGGCACTGCATATGTGAATGGATACCCAAATGCATTTGAGCAAGAAGTCAAGTCAACTTAAGAGATCTTCATAAAAATGTTTGCCAAACACTCCCATCATATAATACGTGAGCTCATACATAAGCAATTAATGGAAGTTATAATCTTTATCATAATATCTAAAATGATCTGTAATTGGTGCCTTTAATCATAATAACTGCCCTTTGACTGAATGTCACAAATACCTTACACAGAAAATTTGCAAATTTTTTCATGGATTTGAGGAGCTTGAGCTGTGACATTTACTCTAAAACAAGAACTCTAACAACTCTTAAATAGCTCGGCCAGCTGTTATTAATATTATGGATAAGCGAAGGCTGTCAGGTCCAAGCACCAACCTGGAAAGATGCTGCTTTTAATAAGGGGAATCAACAAGTAAGTACATTTGAGCTCGCCTCTAATCTAGTCACAAAAGCATTCACAGAAGCCAACAAGTTGACATATAATATGCTCTATGTCTACTCATCCTCAAATATACATACAACAATAAAGTCCAGTTTAGCAGAAGTCATTGGCAACTAATTTTATTTTCAATTAGTATATTTTCTTGTCCTGCAAGCACATATGATAAAAACACTACCAAACTGTGAAAATATATAAAATATTCAGCCAGTAATCTAACAAAATTAAGTAGTTGAACAACCAATACAAAATCTCAAAAGCATGTAGAAGACTAACCAATAAAAAACCTTTGGTAACTTATTTTTAATCAGCTTATCAGCACATTGTCAAAACCACAGCAAATTTTACATAAATCAGTGCTGGGTCCACTGGATGCTCTTAATATCTATGCCATCCTTCACCATCTCATAAAGCGGGCTCATTTCTCTCAGTTTCTCAACCTGTTGCACTGTGAGCTCAATGGCCCGATCAATCTCTGCCTCAGTAGTGAACCTCCCAATCCCAAACCTGATTGAAGTGTGAGCCATGTCCTCATCCACTCCCAATGCCCTCAACACATATGAGGGCTCCAAGCTCGCACTAGTGCATGCACTCCCACTTGAAACAGCTACCTCCTTCAACCCCATCAACAAGCTCTCCCCTTCAACATATGCAAAAGACAAATTCAAATTCCCGGCATATCTCTTCTCTATACTTCCATTCACCACCACCCCATCAATTTTTGCTCTAATCCCATTAAGCAATCTCTCTTGCAACTGGGTGATCCTCTTCTTGTCATATTCCATCTCCTTCATTGCCAATTCGCATGCTGACCCAAAACCAACTACTAGTGGAGTTGGGACAGTTCCACTCCGGATTCCCCTTTCCTGCCCTCCTCCATTCATTTGCGGTTCAACCCTAATCCTCGGTCTCCGCCTCATATAGAGAGCACCAACACCCTTCGGCCCATAAATTTTGTGTCCACTTAGTGACATCAAGCTTATATTCATTTTATCCACATCAATTGGAATCTTACCCAGCGCCTGGGCTGCATCAGTGTGGAAAGGAATGTTGAACTCTCTGCATATTTTACCAATTTCCTCAACCGGCTGAATCACCCCGATCTCATTGTTCACCATCATAATAGAGATCAGCCCTGTGTCGGGGCGAATAGCGGTGCGAAGCTGGTTGAGGTCAACTATTCCATCAGAGCCAACAGGCAAGTAGGTCACTTCAAAGCCCTCTTGTTGGAGGTGCCGGCATGAGTCAAGGACACATTTGTGCTCTGTTTGGGTGGTGATAACATGGCGCTTCTTGTCCCTGTGATAGGAAGGAAATTTTTAAAATGACAAATAAAGTGAAATGAACTTCAGAAGCACAAATACCATACCACGCCACACTGCGCCACAAAGCCGAGTTTAACATAAATTTGCTGCAGTTACTTCATTTTTATTGTAAATTAAGAACTAATGCACAAATTAAACTTTGTACCCCTGTGCTTTAATCCTATAACACTTGCACTGCATTTGCTATTAAAAATTAACATTTTGACCCAGTAGTTCAAACTAAAGTGCAAAGGCCCACTGCATTAACCGCATAGAGAGAAATGACTAGACATCCTTAACAAATAGCACTTCCAGCCCCAGCGCTTTAACTCTAAAACACTTACACCCTCCTGTGCTATTACAACAAACATTTCTTGAATTTGACCGAGACGACCAGAAAGAAACCAACTAACATTTCTTGAATTTGACCGAGACGACCAGAAAGAAACCAACTAACATTTCTTGAATTTGACCGAAACGACTCGATAGAAACCGTGGCAATCCTCTGTTTTTGCTTCACTCCAGGCGGTATTCTCCTTTTACAGGACCTATATAAGAGCTAATTTGGAACAAATTTGTACCCTCCCCGCCCGTTTCTGCATTCATTTTCCACTCATTTTGAACAGATAAACTCCTGTTTGCACTTCAGTCTACAAGTACAGGGGCAAAAAGTTGGAATTTTGGTAAATCCTTTTCAAATAGAATTCTTTGGCAAAATTTAAGATATCTTAATATGGACACCAATTTAACTCACAAGATAAAGTAGGAACATAACAAACACGCACGAAATCACCTCTACCTGTAGAAGTGCATGACGCCCTTGACGGAGATGTTGTTGGACTCGGTGGCGCCGGAGGTGAAAACGATCTCTTTCGGCGAGGCGTTAAATAGGGCAGCCACTTGTGCACGTGCAAGCTCGACCGCCTCGTCTGATTCCCAGCCATAGAGGTGGGTCCGCGAGTGGGGGTTACCGTACCGGGAAATATAGTAGGGAAGCATGGCGTCAAGCACCCTGGGGTCCACCGGTGAGGTTGCCTGCATGTCGAGGTAGAGCGGGCGGCCGGATATTCTTACCCCTTTCATGCAGATTCCGGCAGAGTACTCGTAGGGTTCCGCCGTGGACGGCGGAGATATGGCGGCAGCGGCTGTCGAGAGGGCCGAAGGAGGGAGGCCCGGCGGAAGGCGGTGGCCAGGAGCTTCGAGGCCATGATGACGATAGGCTCGTCAGCGGTCTCTGTACTCGGTTCGTGTTTTTTTTCCCCACGAGGGTTTACGAATAGAGAGAACGCCGGAGTGGTAGATGAAGAAAATCCCCGACCCTGTCCACAGGGGAATATTATGATGACACGTGGAGATATCGGAACCTTTAGTTAAAACGAAAAACATCGTTCTTGTTCTTGCGACGTTCTGTGAGAATTAAAGCGCGGTTGATCGAGAAAACGACGTCGCATTATCCTAGATTACACAATTTTGAAGAGATTGATCGCGAGAGAACTGCGGTGAAAAAAAAATAAAAAATAGGTGTCTCGATCTCTTCACAACTCATCAACCGATCAACGAACGATACTGACGGGAGAAGAGATCTCTCCCTCTCTAGACTTACAACGTAAGTAAAAGCTACATATATACCCACACACACAGAGAGACTTGGTGTTTGCCGATCCAACCTCTTAGAGAGAGAACAAAAAGCTAGACGATTCTAATGTTGTAATCTCCTTCACACCGACGAAAGGCTCTATCTGAAGTACCATTTAAGCAAATTATTCTGAAAAAGTCATCATCATTTGTGGCCAAAGTTGGGTATAAAAGGATAACCTTTTCATTCATTATAACCGCACGATTTCCCTGGTAAAATTTCCTCAAACACTCTCTGAGATCTGCCTGCGGTTCCAAGTTTGATTTGATGTAATGTGGGTTTTCTTCTGTTTGAACATTCTCTTCCTACTTGTGCTCTGTACTTCCGTGCCCAAGTACAGATCTGTGAGTTTATCTGAGCCATGCTTGTTCTATTCAATGTTTTTCTCGATTCTGCATGATGGGTTTGATTCAGAAAGGAAAACATGATCTAGTTTTGGTAGATCTTGTGTGGATTCTACATTTGCTTATTTGCTACTGCAAATGGAAATTGAAATTGACTTTACCTCTCTATTCTCTCTCTCTCTCTCTTTTTTTTTTTTTTTTCCTTTTTGAATTATTTGGTTTCTGCTTAATGGTTGAGGGTTGTGATGTGTTTGGAAATAAGAGATCTGTATTTTGTTACCTGTAAAACTGACTTAAAGGGGTAGATTCATGCATTGTTTCAGTTACCATACTTTTTTTCAGACCAGCTTGAGTAAATCTGTTTTTGAGGATTCAATTATTGCCTCCAATAAAATATCGAGCTCTAGATAATTGAATAGTAACTTCTAAGGTCCCAATTAAATGGCTTCATGATTGTGATATTATTTGTTTTATTTTAACCATTTCTGTGGGCATTCTAGTTATTATTGTGATGCCGGTCTGTTTGGACTTGCTTGTGAAAACAAGATTATGTCAAAGAATAAAAAACATAAGCTGTTGGGTTGACACTTTTACAGGTGTGCTGTAATAGAAGTGCGGATTAAAGGGAGTCGACCATGTTCAGGCTGTCTCCGCGAAGGAACCAGAGATCTAAAGGTTTGAAGGTAAAGCATGCTCTTCAGATATTTGTGCTTCTAGGCGTGTGCATATGGCTGGTATACCAAGTCCAGCACTCAGGCAACAAGAAGGGTTCATATGGAGAGAACACAAACATCTCGGAGAAGGTGAGTGATGCAAATGACTTGCCGAGGTTAGGGCGGAAAGACCTCAAGCCTCAAGGGCAGGAGGAGAACATTATTGACCAGAGGCACAAAGAGGAAGAAAATGAGGAAGAAAGCAAGCCAGAAAATGATGGTGAGGGAGAACAAACACCAGGTGAAGAGAAGCTAGAAGGCGAGAATGAAGGAAGTTTTATGGATAGAGGAAAGGAAACCGAAGAGAACAAAGGGTATGAACAAAAAGAAGAGGAAAGGGTAGAGAACATGGAGAACAAGAACATTCAGGAGGGTGACAATGGCGGAGAGAAAGAAAGTGACGAGAGTAAAAAGGAAGAAGGTGCACAAAAAGAAGAGGAAAGGGAAGGGAATGTAGAGAACAAGGGCATAGAGGAAAGTGACAATGGTGGATATAAAGAAAGTGATGAGAGTAGAAGGGAAGAAAGTGAAAGGAAGGAAGGCCAAGAGCTAGAGACAGAGGAGAACAAAGAAAAACAGAGTGAACAAAGTGAAGGTGAACAAGAAATCAAAGAGGAAGAGAAAAAAGAGAACAAGGAAAGTCAAGGTGGAGAGGAGACTGGAGAAAACAAAGAGAGTGCCAATCCAGAGGGGGGAACTAAGCAAGAGGGTGGGGAGAGCAATATGGAAGTAATAAAAGAGAAGGATAATGAAGGAGTGAAGGATGAGATCACAAATGCTGAAAGTGAAGAAAAGAAGAGGGAGGATACCAAAGAGGTGGACAAGGAAGACTTGGCAAAAGACCAGGTTCATCATGTAAATGATGAGAGCAGCGTGGGAGCTGGAGGTGAAGATCAGAAGAAAGATGGTTTTATCACCGAAGCAGTCAAAGATTCTCAAAATACAACCGACACTGATAAAGGAGGTCAGGAGAACTCAAATGAGGAAGAGAAATCGAAAAATGAGGAACAGAATAAACTGGAGGAGAATAACAGTCGAACTGGCATCAATGGGACCCAGGAAAATCAAAATGACTTAAGCTCGAATGTGAGAGAAGATGAGAGAGGGGAAAAGACTAACCAACAAGAAACAGGGAACCAAGGGAAGGGAAATGAGACCGATGTAGTGCAGAAAGGGCAAGGTTTGTCCGACATCAATGGTAGCACAGAAGCTAAAGAATCTGATAAACACCTGCAAGAAAACAATAACTCATCCCAACAAAATGGAGAAGGTGCAACATCGGAGTCCATTGAAAATCAAAATCAAACCATAAACCGTGAAGAGCTTAAAGGAGATGGCGTGCAGGCTGTTTCAAAAGAGCAAACTGAAACAACAGACACAGTTTCAAGCGGTGGAAATTCTGATTTGGATTCCCATCCTTCCACTTCAACTGAGCATACATCGGAGAAGTTGTATCAGGACTCAACATCTTCTAAAACAACAGAGACTGCTGGTAAGAACTTGCACTCGGACTCAAATGGAGCATCCGTGGATTCTTCAGATGGACAGAATGGTTCTGAATCTTCAACCACAGATGGGGAAGGCGGAACTACTCAGTATCAGGAGTCTGGCACTAATTCTGAAGCAAATGCACAAGAAAAGCCCTTGACCTCTAATGATTCTTCAAATGAACAGAATGGTTCTGAATCTGCAACCACAAACGAGAATGGAGGAACTACTCAGAACCAGGAGTCCGATTCTAATTCTGAAGCCAAAGCACAAGAGAAGCACTCAACCTTCAATGAAAATGAAAACCTGAATGCTAATGCTGAAGCTGAAACACAAAAGAACCCTTCCACCTCTAAGGAAAATGAAAACGCAAGTGTAAATTCTGGTCAAAGTGAATCAACCAGTTCTTCTGCCTCTAAAGATGAGGGAGAGACATCTTCAAACCAGAATGAGAGTGTGGGCAGTACTCAACAAGAGCCGGTTGGTCCTACAGATTCTTCGATCCCACAAGAAGAGAAAGATGCTCGGACAGATCTGTCAACCTTGCCAGATATCAAATCTGAAGGAATCAACAATAATGATGCAGTGGCAAAGTGATATTTTCTTTGGGATGGGTTGCAAATTTGGCTCATCTGCGGGGTCATATGCTGTAGCTAATCTCTCGTTTTGAATTTTTATTTCTGTCTACTATTTCTTCTATTTTTTTTCTCCTTGGTTCTGTTCTTTCTCATTTGCATAGATAAACTAGCAAGACATACGTAAACCAAGATTGTAAAACGTTGAATATCATTAGTTTGACAGCGTTCAGTTAATAAACATGTACTTTTGTTCGATTGGTACTGAGGTTTGCTATGTTATCCGTAGATCTTTCAATAGAATCTCTACCTAGGTACTTGTAGGATTTTCGACCTCTTATGGAATCTGTGATTTGAAGTTCTGTGACATTGATTATTCTGGAAGTAATTTCAGTGATTCAATCTTATTCTATCAATGTTCGTTTTGTAAGAAAAAAAAAAAAAGAAGACAAAAAAGGTACATCAATGAAGGATCAGAACCGCTTGACTCCTGTGGGTTAGATCCGTTTAAGACTGGATGTGCAAGGATTGTCTGGCATATATTTTTTTCTGCTGTTTCCAAAAGTTCTGCTCATATACACTTTTAATTGGTGCATACCTTGTAAACCATTTATATCTCGTAAAAATTTTGGCGCACAGACAAATTTTTGCATATCTTTGTTTAAGAGGGAAAAAATATTGGCTTTCTCATTTTCTTTATTCCAAACGAGTTTTCCATTTTCTCAATTGTTCTCAATTTTTTGTAATCATGAATAGATTATAGGAGAACATGTAAGCTACCTAAGACAACCCAGTAGATCGCCAGCTTGAAGCAGAAATGCTGAACCAGTTATATATTAAGACAATTTAGCAACGAGATAAATGCAGATATGAAAAGCGTGGGATCAACTAATATGCTCCAAAGAGCAAATCCAATCCACAATCTTATTTAATAGCAAAAAATGCATCAAAACAAAAGAGGAACAAGCAGTAACCAGCCAACGATGAACAGCGAGCAACATACAACACAACCATGGTTCCATTATGCAAATTCCTGATATAACATACATAAAATCCTCAGAGCTTTTCTCCGAGAGTAAACTTCTTTGATGACAAGCTGAATTTAGACAACTAATCACTGTTTCTGGTACATTTCTATAGTGCATGCCTTCAAGGATCAGTGATGCTTCTTCTCAAAGAGGCCATCTGGACCTGCACATTAAAAAGGTTTCAGCAAATGCAAGTGCACTTGTGTCTGTAAAGCTGGGCTGGAGAGAAGGAAGATTAAATAAGCATTGGAAAAGAGAAGAAAGTGAATGTTCTTGACTTTTTCCACAAGAAAGATAAAACACATATGCAGAGGACTTCAGAAAGAAATAAAGAAGAGTTGCATCTTCAACAAGAAGGGAAAAAGAAAAACTAAAAGCATGATATATTGGCATGATTTAACACGCAAATCTTCTTGATTCTCAAACAGCATCATTTACTGAAGTCCATTGTATTGACAACATTCTTCCTATGCCATGCTACAACCTCATGTCATCCAGTCCTCTATATAATTTTAGTTTTCATAGCATGACATGGTAATAATCCCCACATCACTGAAGATCCAAGCTAATCGGGAGCCATTTTTTAGCTCACTCATCTTATACTGCATTAGCCTCCGTTCATCTTCAATCATTAAGGACCAGAAAACTTAGCACATGCCCCACAGATGCCCCCTATCTCATGGTTTCAGAAGCTCTTTTAAATTGGCCCAGCTACTCTTTTTTCAGTTGAATTAATGAAGGCTGGCTCCATTTCTGACTCTTGAGAACATACCAAATGTATGCTTTGTTATTACTATACACTAGACTGTTGATGAATATTCACATTAAATTCAACAATATACATTAATCTAAGAAGACAGACTGCATAGAATAATCAATTTTCATGTCATGCAACAATATACATTAATAATCCAAAGAAGTACATTTTAAAACTTAAATACCTATACTTCAAGTGCCAACCAAAAGATATATCACATCTCATATAAGAAGACAGAAAAAATAAAAACATCAACAATCAATTAAACCAAACAGCATTAATAATATAATTAAACAGCCAATAGACGCAGATATAGTGACATACCCCAGGGAAACTCCTTGTTGCGGATGTGGAGATACGGATATGGCTGCATGCAGTGATAATTTGAAAAAAAAAATGATTAATAATATGAGAGCACAAAACATAAGATATACATATATATCCATAAATGCAGACATGGTAAAAAAAGGTCTTTCCTACTAGCAAGCATTGCAGACACCACAACATGGGAACCAGAAAGGCACCTACATACAAAATTAAGCATATATAGCAGTATTACTTATATTTAGGTGGGTCAAAAGAAAGATTACAGGGGGTTCTTCATGGTGCTGATGGCCTTTGGAAAGGTTATAGATTGTCAAAATAGTGCAGGTGGTAATGCCAGCATAAGTAATCTTCTCCCACTTTGCCGTTTCATCTGAGAGGAGAAAAATTTTGATTAATCAAAATTGCTTGATCTATTGATTGTAAAAATCAAAACCCCCGTCCTACCATAAGAGGGCCTTTTCCTACTAAAGGAAGGGGAGGTATAAAGTAGATGATGTCAAATATAAATCAATTTTACATATCACAAACATAGAAGGTCTTCTTGAGACATTTCATGGAATATATGGAATCCAATCCCAACATAGATATTTCCCAAGTGTTCATAGTGATGAATGCATCAGACAGTGATGCTGGAGGCTATGAAAAACTAGAATGAAAATCTACTGATACGAGCTGTATGGGCACAAATATATGCAACACCATATAAAGCACAAATATTACAAAGAGAAGCGGCAAATGGACTGACTAGGCAGGGTTCGTCTCGGATTTTTTCAAGTACAGGTTATTTTTGGGTTTAGGCTGGTTGACCATTCATCACGTTATGTCCAATCCCTGAATTGATGGACATGATATCAGCAAAACACCTTGTTTTCAGGAGGGGAATGAAAGAGGTGTTATGGCATTTTAAAATTTTGTCACATCATCTAAGGAGAAAATATTTGACTTTTCAATTTTTATTATCAGGTGCAATGTAAAATTTAGCAAGTGATTGAGTGAAAATATGGTATTAGTTAGTACTTATCTGTATCACTCCGAAAGACCAACAAGCCAAAACCAACCAGAAAAATTTTGGATCTTTTCATGTTCAAGTTAAGAACCGATTACGCTAGCCTAATATTCTAGACCAAAAATAAATAAATAAATAAATTATCAAATTGCATGAAGATTTTCCATTCTAATGGCAGTTGATTTGATCCTCCTTGGTTATTCATTTTTCTAGTCACACATCGGTGAACACCCAAATCCTCATAAAAATGAATGGAAACATGTATTATGTTACCAACCTCCTTCCAAAAATGGTACATATTCTTTTCCTGGTAATCCAAAATAGGCACATACAAATGAAGGTCGCAAATATCAGGGCATAACTTAGGCAACACAAGTTTCGAACTGAAAGTCATAAAAGACAGTGAATAACGGAGTTCTGCAGTTAATTTTTTCTCGCAGGGAATTAAGAGAATTAAATGCACATTTAAATTTATAGCTATTGCATTTGCATCGTATTAATTGATGTTGAAACAGGATAAACTTTCCTGGGGATAGACAGTATTGACGTTCCTTCATATTTTCGGAAGCACGCCTCTTTGCTTCCTACACCGCATCATCACCCAATTTAGAGAATATTTTAAGGATTTTGACTCAAAATCTTGCACCAGTAACTATACCGAGATTTCCCAAAATATCCACTCACAATTTGCACTATCTGTTGTTAAAATTTATCAATTCCATTTTTAAAAAATATTGTTTATCCATATCCAACATCTGGCAAATATCCAGCAGCAACTACTAAACCTTCGTCGCTACAGGGAAGTCAAAAACTCCAGAAGTCATGTGTACCATCCAAATATCATCAAGACTCATGGTTCTCTGAATCGAAGTTGATTAACTTAAAAAATTCAGACCACTAACGTTAATCTTCTGCTCAGATCAAAGAAATATATGCATATATGTATCTTCCGGACGACTATATACACATGGAGAGAGAGAATTTTCCATACAGGCGTCATCGTGGTGCCCAGAAGAAGCGAAGGTTCTCTTGGAAGCTGGAGCCCGTGGACCGCTACGGAGTCCCATCCGATAGACAGACCTCGCGATTGCCATCGCCATTGGATCTTCCCTCTTCCTCTCTCTCTCTCTCTCTCTCTCTCTCTCTCTCTCTATCCCCGACAGAACGATGACTCTTTACATCTCGAAGTCTCTCCCCTCTCTCTCTCCTAAAAAAGGAATATTCCCTCACTCAAGACCCATCCGAGCTAGTGAGCCGAGAAGTTCCGCTCATCGTCGGTCCGGTCCAAGCATGGAAAGATAATCATTAATTATTTTTCAATGTTGTCAAAAAATAATATTTTAATATGCATTGTAGTGCCTTTGCTCGTAATTTGGCCAATCAAAACCCCAAGAGTTGATACATTTTTATCACAGTTGATTTTTTCCGTGCGTCAATCCTGTTTACTCACTGCCGTTTAGTGGATGACGTGGCAGACATGTGATGACACGTAACTGCCACATCACCTAAAAAAGGGATATTTTCTGTTTCCACTGAAAAAGATAAAAAAAAAAAGGTAGATTTTACGGGCACCGGTGCCCACCCCTCTCACAAGAGGTGGGCCCTACTACCCGGGCCCTCTGCATTAGGAAAGGGCTCCACTGTCGAGTGCTCCCTCTCCTTCCCTCACAGAAGGGGGGTTGTACTGGTGCCTTCTCTTTTGGGGAGGGCACCGAAGTGTTCAAAAAAAAAAAAAGGGTAAAACCAAATAGGGCGGCGGAGACTACGGTACAACCTTTTAAAAAGGTTGTTTTAAACCTTCGCCACGTGGACCAATATAATTGGTCCACGTGGATTCTTCCAGGGACCAAAGTGTAAGTGAAATTATTCAAGGGACCAAAGTGCAAATATTGCACTTTGGTCGTCTTCTTCCCAGAGTCGCCGGCCGTCTTCCTACCAGAGCCACCGGTCGTCTTTCTCCTCGCAGAACGGTTGTCTTCCTCCTCGCAGAATCGCCGCACGCCGCAAGCCGTTCGGTCGTCTCCTTGCAGAACCGCCACACGCCGCAACCTCACAGAACCGCCGCACGCCGCAAGCCGTTCGCTCTCCGCTGGGCGTTTTTTCAAAGCAGGGGCTGCGGGTTTCGAAGAGGGTTTTTTTTTCTTTAGTCGGATCGGGCTTGGAATGGGGCTTGATGGTGAAATCGGAGGCCGTTGGGGAGGGTCGGACTGAGTTTCGGAGTCGGACCGAGTTTCGGAGTCGGACCCTTCGGTCTTCAGATTCTTCGTCTTCCTCTTCTTCCGATTCAACGTCTTGTATGTTTTGGTTTCTTCGGATTCTTCTCCTTCGGAAGATGAAGCGGAAGGAGGCAGTTTGCAGGGGGGCGGCGGCGGCTTGCAAGCGAGCAGTGGCGAGCGATCTGCAGGCAGGCGGCGGCGGCCTGCAAGCGAGCAGCGGCGAGCAGTTTGCAGGCGGGCGGCATCTTGCAAGCGAGCAGCGGCGAGCAGTCTGCAGGCGGGCGGTGGCCTGCAGGCGGGCAGTGGCGAGCGGCGTCGAACGGTGAGCGGCGGTGGACGGCGAGGAGAGAGATGACCTCCAAAAACCAACAATGACTATTTGCACTTTAACCCCTAAAAATATTTACACTTTGGTCCTCAAAGACATCCACGTGGCCAATTATAATTGGTCCACATGGCCTGAGCAATCCACGTGGCCAAACCTAATTGGTCCACGTGGAGATGGTTCCAAAACAAGCCTTTTGGGCTTGGTACGGGAGTGTTCACCAAATAGGGCTCATGTTGCTGCAAAAGTAGGCTGAAAAAAGGAAAAATTAATATTAAAATACAAGATATAAGAGTGAGATGTTAAAAGAAATTGAATTCAAAGAACGTACTTGTAAATATAATATAGGCTATACTTCCTTAAATTCTTTTTTTTGATATTATTTACTCTTTTAAATTATTTATTATATTATTTATCTTTTTAAAACTAATATAATTGAATTAATTGTTGTATTTATTCCTGAACTCTCCAATCAAAAGTACTGAATTTTTTAAAATATCATTTTAATTATATTTAATTGTTATAAATTTTAAAATTTTATGTTAATATGTTGTTATTAATAATAAATATTATTTAATTTTAAATATTAAATTAAAATATGAGTAATTTTACAAAATTAATTTAAACTATTAGTAATCTAACGATATAAAAAATTGCAAATTGTGAATAAATAATTTAAATTTAGTAAAATTTACTAAATGACTACAATTAAAACTTAACCATTAAACCAAATCAAGCAAATTTGTATTTTTTTATTTACTTTATAATAGCATAAAAAAATTAAAGGCAAGAATAATTTTTATGAAAAAGTCTTAATTAATTTTATAAATTAATTGTAACTTTTTATTTAGTTTAATTTTGTAAATAATTTAAATTAATTTTGTAAAACTTAATCATACTTTAATGTAATATATAAATTTAAATATATTTAATAATATTTATTATCAATTATAACATATTAATTAAAAATTTAAAAATTTTAATAATTAACTATTGTAATAGTAATATTTTAAAAAATTCAGTATTTAAAACTTGAGAGTTTAATGAGTAAATATAATGCTAATTTAACGACGCCAATTTCAAGGAGGTAAATGTTATAATGAATAATTTAAGAGATAAATAAGATAAAAAGTAAAGTTAAAAGGATTAAAATGATTATTGTTCTATGATATAAAATAGACAAAAAAAAAAAAAAAATTGAATACAGAATAAGAAAAAAAAAGGAGTAGGAATTGATTTAAATATGTAAGAGGTGCATCTAACAGGAGTTGCCGACGAGACAATTCAACAGGCATCAAAATAGCAATAACAAGTAACAAAAATAATAATAAAAGTAGCTGTGAGAAAGCAATCAATTGAAGATTTCCGTAATATATTTTGGTGATATTAAACTCTTATAATCACAAGCTTAAAGTAAAAAAAATATAATAAAATAAAATATTACTTTAATCAATAATATAATAATATATTTTTCTAGTTTACCTTTTAATTATAACAAGTAGTAATATAAAGAATAGTTTTAATAAGTTTTTAAAAATGAGAATCTTATATTTTGATTTTAATTTTTTTAAACCTAAATCAAATTAATCATTTAATATGAGAGATCAATTTAAATCAAATTAAATACATTAAATTGGATTAATTTCTGGAGTTAATCACCTGATCAGATCAATTGCGTTTAAAATGCTTTTATCTACTAAATTTCCAATTTACTCAAGGAAGTAGTTAAGATATTTATGATACAGTTAACATTATATATATATATATATGTATGTATGTATGTATGTATGTATGTATGTTGTTCATCTAGATGTTAATAGT